ACGAAATGACAGAAGAGACAGTATGGATTATAGTAGCGAAAATAAATGTAGATTTTGTGGACTGCGGTTTGATATATTTACTTCAATGTCACTCAACATCAAGCACATATTTGGATAGTGAAGCGGTCCAGACTCGTGAGACCTGTATAAATTTGCGCTTCCAAAGCTTTTTATCTACGGTTTTTAATAAAAAGTATCTTTTTCCAAGCAAATTGAAATACTAATTACGATTTCCAAGTTGATCTAACCATATAACCCATGGTCGACTTTGCTTACACCGATCCCCTTCCGCTAAATGAAAGTTGCCCCGTTACAAATCCAATATGAATTTGTAAAAGCTATCGAAAAAGGTACTTCATTTGCGGTAACTTGTTCCTGCAACAACATGTGCATACACGTTTTGCCAACAATAGCCTACATATCATTTTTGCTCAGCAAGCCATAAACATAATCAGACAGGTACGTCGCAAGACGTAAATCCTAACAAATCGCTTCGGTGTAAATCAGCCGTAAACGCGATCGACCAGATCGACGCAAAAAAGAAACCGCTTCGAAATGATTCATATCACTATCGAACTGGTTTCCTTCGCTCCTCGTAAATATCTTGAAGGTACTCCGGCATCGCGAAGAAAAGAAGATTCGGACACACCTGGACGGGCCCTAAGTGAAGAAGTGTGAGTTCCTGCTGATCCGCGTTGTGGGGGATCGACGCTGGTAACCGCAGGAATGTTGTGGCGGTTGCGGATAAACATGTTGATTAATTAATATTGACCATGTTGTTAAATTCCCAAGTTTACTTTTAATAGTGTCAGAATCCGTTTATTGGTAGGAATCTTTGGAATTTAAAAATAAAGATAATTTCCCAATAATTTCATTTTATTACCCAATTTGTTAATTGCCAATTAAAAGTTTAGCTGCGGTTTCTGCACCGTGTATCGTATTGGTAGTCTCAAAATCAACGCCAAATAGTTCAAAACCCTCTCACAATACAACTGACTAGCTTAACATTTTGTCATTTTATTGTAACAGTAGCATACCTATCTAATTTTAGCTTTATAACGTATCATTAAAAAAGAAAGAATTTGTCGTCCAAGTGTTAATGCCTTTTACTGACCAATTAGAGGAACGCTAATGCACATAGTTCCAATGGCCTGTAGAAACACCTGAACCGAATGGGTCATGTGAAACTAAACTGAAACTATTTGACGTTTATCTGAATGACCAATTGGAACATAAAACTTTTATGCAGAAGTTTTAGTTACCGATCGCAAGAGAACACACCTCAATTTCGGGACTGCAGCGAGATTCGTCAACATGTCTTAAACCATATACCAGGTGTTATTATTACAAACGTGATCGTTAATCTCGACATTTCAACTTCCGATTCTTTATTCTTTTCACACAAGAATACGAGAGGATTCTGAATGAAAAGCGGGAATACAATCCCGGTATTGTTGGTTTTCAATCAATATGGCATTGGAGCTTGATTTTTGTCTATTTTCTTATATCTGGTTCAGGTAGCCGAATGGATTTCGTCCATTGTTTGCAATGGGAACCGGCTGTAGCTATTTGTAGAGCAAAAATTCAAATCCACCGTTGACTTTCCGTTTGAAATTAATTTTCGATATTACATTTTTTGTTTGTTAAGGAAACCCACCGTTGAATTATTATTATTACATAGGTAGGTATTCGAAATCTGATCTCTATTATCTAACAAATATTAAGTTTTCTGTGATTTCTCATAAAAAATGGGGTTTCGATGCAGAAACCCGATTATTAGATTTAGATTATTGAAACTGAATTATGGACTCTTTTTTATGTTATTATATTTACTTATCAGTCCGAAAACCATTACCTACATGTCAGGCTTCTGATTAAGTTGTCTGTGTTGGTCGTTATAATTAATAATTAGACTGTTTACGTAATAATGTAACATTTATTAATTAAAGTTTATTAGGCACCATCTACTACTACTTTATGAGTTCATCACACATTCACTATATTATTTTAACTGTGATTTGCTTAGATATTCATTTTAAATGTTAAATACTGACATTAACAACCGAAGACTAATATATTACGTCATATTTCACTAATTAATACTGAAAGACCATTAAACAGACATTATTACACTGTAATAAAAATCAGCCTTTACAATTTAGCGGGGCATTCATTAAAAATAAGTAATTAATTTTTTGTAGATTTTCAAAAAGTATTTTATCTTTTTGAATCAATAATGACGGTAAACTGTCTATTTATAACTATTTGACTAAGCCCGCTTTTTTCCTTAATTATTTAAGTCTTGTATTACTGGTGCCAATTCATTCTGCTGTCTAATCTAAACGCTACAGTGCTTGTACCACAAACATGTTTTAAATCTCTAAACCGCATTTTAAATAACTTTAAAATCAACCGTGGCTTATTGAAGTTGCGAAAAATTTTATTGTCTACCGAGACACAATGCCACTGGCATAATGAAGCATTGTCTCTAAATAGCATCATGTCACTACTGAATGATTCTTCAAACAATGCGCATATTATTACTAAATTAAATAGATTCCATGGATGCTAAACATCAACGCGGATAGCTTTTATAATTGGGTGTCAAATTCGATTATGCAATACTCAGAGTTAAAATTTTAATATTACCAAAATAACTTAGTAGGTATGTGAAACGTAAATCAAATAATTGGGTTTTCCTGAACGACTAGTTTGTATTTATAAATAAGCGAAAAACAATATCAAAGTTTGGCGGAAGCACAAATTGATACCAGAAACGAAAATATTATTTCCGTTAGAGTTATGAGTTAGAGAGAGCTTTAGAGTTGGTTGGTTGGCTCCATCGATCATGCATAGGAAACTAATATTCATCAAGAGTCAGCACCGTTCTTTGAACAAACTTCCATAGAGGGAGTCTATTATATAGCAGAAGACTGATTAAATTAAAATGTTTATAGAGAATTGGTCTGGAAACATCTTGCAAGCTTGGCTAAATAATCCTCTAGGAAAATTCGTTTGCAAACTATCAAGCTTTTTCAACAGGAATGGTTAATCCGCAAAACTCCTTATATTCCATAATGAAATGTTAATCCCTATCAAATACCTATGCAAATTTCGTGTTATGGCAAGGCCTACTCGTATACGAAATTCGTTTCCATAATCCACCAAACATCAGTTCCCACAGCAAATCCCACAAATTGATATCAGCACCGACGGCTTATCAGCGGCGCGTCTCATTGGACACAAAATGATTACATAATGAAAGTGGGCCTCCATTAACCCGCCTTTTATTCATGAACTTGAGGGAGGTTTATACTCAATTTGTTTCAGTTAGAGGGCGCCTCTTTTAAGAGGATTTTCCTTAAATAGGCATAGAGAATTGTACATTTAAGCTGGGAACTGGTATCTACTTGAAAAGCCCTCATCTGAATTAATGAAGCTTTTGTTTCATAGTGAAATTGGGCGAAGGGCGACTTTCCAGAATACATTTGCAGTTAAAACTTTTTTAATTTACTTTAAAAAATCGTCAATGGAATTTTGACCCGATAGGAATTAAACTGTTTTTCCACATTCCTCAAAATTGAGAGATACTGTTTTTATTCATCTATTGTTGTCGAACTCGTGACGCAAAAGTAGTTTGAAATTTTCCAACTCAATAATTGGCTCCTAAATTTCATATTTCACGGTTGTGATTTAAAACCCCATTAAAAACAAACCATTTTAAAATGCAACGCCAGATATTTAATGCAATCTGTCGATTCGCATTGAAAACAATAAATTTACATCAGCCCATATAAAATAAAATTTTATTCAAAGTATTTTAATAATAACTGAAGAGCGCTTTTCATAACGCTTTCACTCTGTTTTTAAAAGCGATTATTTCAATTTATCCATGAAAGGCTTTACACACATGGCGGTATATCATATAGGTATTGTTGGAATCGGTCCAACAATGCCTCAAAAGGTAGCTACGTATATTAAAACTGGTTTTCAAGCAGGATTAAAAAACAAAATGAAGCGAAAAAGGTATTGTAACTTGATGAATATTGAAAATTTGGAATATACTTTAGCAAAATTTTCAGTATAAAAGATTAAACAAAATAAACATATTCATGCAAAAATGTTCTCCACTGGTTTCCTATTAACAGAACCACAATGGAACAAAAAGAAAACTTTTTACATGATTGAAATTAATAATTATACGGACCTGTTGTAAAGCAAAAAGAGGCATAGGTTTGGTATACAGTTCTACTGTGTTTAATTTTCTATATTTTTACCCGTGTCAGTCCAGCTTATTCTGATTAGAAATTCTGTAGGCTTGAAAACACATCTTGACTATTGTTTTCATAGTCATAATAAATGAATTCTGCACATTTTGCTGTGTTAACCGCTAATATTCTGGCGCCACGTTTGGACAGTTTTTACAAATGAGAAACATCTAACTTATTTAGTGGAAAATGGTATTAGGGAGTCGATACTCAGCAAATCTTTTGAATTTTAATGAATAATTTCTAAAAATGTTTGATTTTGTTAGTGATGTAAATCGAGAATGTTTAAGACATTGCGAGAATATTAGGATTTCGAGGAACGGTTTGCGAAAGCCAAATACTCTGGTTTTTTTGGTGTCCATCATTCGGTTTTATTTCAATGTAAATTTTAACTTTGTGGTTCAGTTTAGAAACAAAAGGTCACCAATAAACAGTTGTTTTAAGTTGGTTTTGAAAAACGTTGTTTGAATCATTTCTATACAACTGCTAAACCGCTTTGAATTAGGCAAACGACATCAAACCGAGAATCAAAGTATTTAGAAGATATACCAAGACTTTCCACTTACTTTTTTCAATTAAAAATTACACCCCGACTTAGTTACAAGTAGCAAATATTTTTCTAAAATTCATGTGTATGTTTCCAATTAATTGCTTTTGCATTTGCTTATCAACATCTAACAGTCTACTAGTTCATACCTGCTCTCAGGGCATCCATTGGTACCGATGCATATGGGATGGAGTAAGGGTATCCCTCTTTTCGCATTGTTTTAGGCTTTCTTCTGGGCCTGTATTTGTAATCCGGGTGCTCTTTCATGTGCATGGCTCTCAGTCGTTTTGCTTCATCTATAAATGGACGTTTTTCCTCTTCGCTCAAAAGCTTCCACTCAGCTCCTAAAGATAATGAGAGAAATGTGAGAAAAATGATAATCAAGAAATAGATTATCTACTTTAATGGATATTTAATATCATGGATCAATTAGAAGGATGAGGAGCTCTCCATTATAAGGACGCCTATATCTGCATTTACAATAATTTGACGGTTATGATTCTACAGCTAAATTGTGGTTGTAGTGAAAACTATCTAAGCGTTAGTTCTAAGATGATAGCTGAGATAAAACGAAAGTCATATGGAAATTCAATATATGCTCTCCGTATAGTCAGAATTGAGTAAAATATTTTCCTAGTTAGGTATATCAAAAATTTTGTCTTGTACATATAGCGTGCGTTCTGCCAGTTGAGCAAGGGAAAAACAATATTGTAAATTGTTTTTGTTTTTTCGGATGTGTTGAAAAGTATAAAAAAATTAAACGAAAGTTCATCTGCATCATTGAAAGCAAAGTTTTCCCGATTGCTGTAAGCGTGTTTGATTGAAATGCTTTTCCGTCGCCAAATCCCACATAAGTAGTACGTTCATAAAATGCTTGAGATCTTTCGATATCAATTACAGTTATTCATTTGTTTAGAAACATCGGATTTATTCACTTGGCACTCGTACTACTAAGGTCTGTTATAGACTAAATGCTAAATAACCCATGCATATAATGTAATATTATCCGGATCGATTCTGCTACACCTGATGTTCCCCAGTGTTTTCCCATTGGAGAAACAATAGAGCTACCGATTGGCTGCTCCTTGGAGACGCCTTGCCGCAACTCTGATACTTTACGCCGGTTTTTGTCTCCTGTTTTGTCCCATTGTATCGGAAACATAATGTAGGGTCTCTCTCAGCCTTTTGTACAAGATAAGAACGAATTACCAGTTTCGATGATGGTAGCCTTTTGTCAGTTTCTAATTTTAATTTCTATGGAAACAATTTCGTTCGCAAGAAAACGCATTTTGTAAAGTTGGGGGAATTGTGATTACTTTTGCTTATCTGAAATGTTAGAGACATTAATATGAGCTTGGAAAAGCGTCCCATTTATTGATTTTGGTACTCCAATTAACGCTTCTCTGATAAAACATCGACTGTGAATGAAATAACTGCCATATAATTAAATAGATTTCTGTAATGTTAAACTGAGTCCAGCTAGAATTTGATTTATTTCAATTGCAACCAAATAATCAGATGCTCAACTGTAATATTAAAGCTAATTTTATTCACAATGGTTCATTAGGATATTCGAACAAACACTTGGAAATAACCGTCTGGTGCTTTGCTATGATGAACAAAAAAATATTAAAAACACATTTCTAACCCGTGGGTTGAGAATGAAGTAACCAGAAGGTGCATATAAAAACACTTGAAATTCCATATAAGCGTGAAACAGCAGCTGTAGACTGTCACTTGTCCATCATACTGGGCCGTAGATGATCTGAATATGGGTTTGAATAAAACATGAGGCTCCCCACTACATAAACAGAGTGGCACAATGTGTTATGATATGCCTTTAATGCCATTTAGGGGTGGAAATCTATTTAAAAATGACGTTTTCAGGATACATATGTGAGGCGGCCATTGATATGCTAAAGGGCTCTTTGTACACTTTTAAAATTCATATTGTATTTTATTGAGTTTGCAAGTTCAGTTTCAATGGAGTTTTTAGTCGGCTTTGTATTCCGACGGGCGCGTTTTGTTATTTCTTCCTGACCAAATATTTATACTGCGGGATTCACTCCTCATGTGCTTTATCTGCATAGAGACTATTGTTTCAAATAAATCAAATTTCATAAAATTTTGTGGATATATAGCAATTTAACAACTGATGGTAGTGTAAAAGTACTATTTCTAAATAAATTAGCTGCAAATCAAATCCGAATAATCAACAGTTGAAATCAAGTTCAATACTTAAAGAAGTCAATTGATTGTGTCGGTTTTATTAGATTGGCGTGTTCCGACGGTTGAAAATTTTACGTTTTCGATTATTAGATATCACCAAAACGATTGAGAATATATTTTTCTGTCAGTCAATAATTTTTCATTTAAGATGCTCCGACTTGGATATTTAAACAACAACCAACTGTTATATTTGAAGCTTATAGTGAATTTTGGAAAATAGCCAGGCAGCGGGACTTTCCCAGTTAACACTTTAAACAAAAAAATAATAAAGTTATTAATTAACTGAAGAAACCTAATTGCATTACCTAAAATCGCATTATTTCGACGTTTTAGGAAATCACAAACAAAACTGTGCACTATCAGTCCT